AAAAAGGGTGAGGGGAGAGAGAGGAAGACAAGGTGGATAACACTACATCTCTTTCCTATGTGGCTACAGTGACAGGGGAGGTCCCCAGAAACAGGGAAAGGGCTTCCAACTGTATTATTGGGTTGTCGGAAAAGTCATCACGTATTTTTTTCTATGTTTTTCGTTGCAAAAATGCATTATGACTTTCCCCAAAATCCAATATAACCAATTTATACTAAGACTGTAATTTTTCCATGTAATCTAGCAAGACATTCAAGGTTTTATCAATAGGATTGAGTATGTTCAGGTAAAATGACACTTCCCAAAGATGATGATAAAATTTAGTTAACAAAGAATACTAACATATACTTACAGTGTTGTAAAGTTCTTCCAGTCGAGGAATGGTAAGGAATTTATGCATGCTTACTCCATTTTCAATAAGAAGTTTTACAAATGCAACTCTATCCATTACAAGAGCATCAAGCATAGCTTGTTCCAAGGATCCAACCTGAAAGAGTATCAATATTAATAAATGTGATTCACACACTCTAATTATACAAACAGTTCTAAATGCAAGTCCTTGGCATTTTTATACCTTCTTGATCCCAAACAGTTTTAGAAGATTAAAAAGATGCAAAATAGTAAAAGGCTAGAACTTAAGGAATACAGAGAATAGATAAAAAGACATCTCTAGAGTAGCATTCCCCAAACAACATTCCATAAACACTACTTTGCAGGCGAGCAAGTGTGAACATGGGGAAAAAAAACAAAAAAACAAGAGAGAAACCATTATCAACTAAATTTAGGGGGAAAAAAAACCTTAAAGCAATGGTTCTCAATTTTGAGGAAAGGTTTTTTGGAGTGATCATTTCAGTAACTGGGAGCCATTACTAACATTTGATGGGTAGCATCAAAGATTACCAGAAATCATGCAATATGCCAGACAATCTCACTCACAAACAAATTGTCTCACATCGTGCACAACTTTCTATTATCCTGTTAGATGCTCATCAATGAAAATCCAGTAATACTGCTTTACATATAGCATACACACGAAGTATTCTATCATGATTTGTTCTATGATGCACTTTCCAAAAAACAGAACCATAATGTAAGTTAGACAAGATTGTACTTAATTTTCTCTAGAACTTTTAACAAATTATTCACCATAAGAGAAAAATCACATCTCTTAACAATACAACCTGTGTCATTTGAGTTTAATATAACACATACATATCAGTCAGCATTTGTAGCTGTTCCTTTTAAGATTTACAGATTCTTATAGACTTTAACAAACTCACAATCAAATACTATTAAATTAGTGGAGACACAAACAGATTTCTTTGAGTATCATTAATAAAGGTTACTTAATAGAATATTAATATATTTAATATTGTTAATGTTAGTATGTGATGTTACTGTAATATCTCATATTACTGCTTCTGTATATTTTTAACATTTTGGTACTGTATGATAAAAAAAAACCTATGTGGCCGGCGACCGATCTGCCTCACCCGGGAAGAGCACAATGGTTAATACCAACATGGGACAGTGAGGCGACATCCTCACAACTAGACTGAAGAACAAAAGGGACAGCAAGTTGTCTGTTCCCCTTCCCCAATTCCCCAGTGCTGTTCCCCTCCCCCAATTCCCCAATAAAATCTTAANTTTTTCTCCCACTATTGTGATGTTAATTTTTTTATGAAAGGCCATCATAGTAATCAATGTGATCTACTTTTCCATTTTGATCACATATACCTGGTAATAGATTTTCAAACCTAACTGGGTAAACATATTATTTCTTTGAAGACAATATTTTCTTTGCTATTCTTATTTTTAAATTTTGTATAATATCTAAAGATAATTATAAAAGATATTTCATATAAACTACATTTTACTGTCTTCTTTTTACAATATTTAGTTTAGCCACTCAGGAACTAAGTTTTTCCTGCTCATTCATATATGTTAACTTTTAAAAAATAAATGTGTCTTCCAAGTTAATATGAAGTATATCATACTTTAGGTATTAGAAAGTTTCACTGTATTTCCCCTAACATTATTAATCATGTAGAAATGCAGTTTTTGGAATTCTATTTTATCTTAATCCATTAATGTTTATTCATTATACATAACTTTTTAGTATAAAACAAATATACTTTAACACAGCAGTTCTCAAAGCGCAGTCCTAAAACCCCTGAATACTCCCAAGACCCTTTCAGGAGGTCCATGAGATCAAAAGTATTTTCAGAATCACGTTAAGATCTCATTTGCATTTTTTCATTCTCATTCTCTCAAGTGTTTAGCAAAATTTTCCAGAGGCTTCTTGATGTGTGATATTGTGAAATTAAATTCAAAAGCAAATATGAGAATCAAACTGTCTTCTATAAATCCAGGCATTAAAGAGATTTGTAAAACTGTAAAATTATTCTACTCTCACTAAGTTTTTGTTTTCTTGAAAAACATGTTTTTCTGTTAACATATAGTGGATTGTTACTTAAACACAAAATAATAAATATTTTTATGATTTCTTCGTTTTATATTTTAATATGGTAAATACCAACACACATAAACAAAACCTCTTTAGAACAGCTTTTTTTTTTTTTTTTTAAATTGGGGAATTGG